TTTTTTTTTTGAGATTTCTCTCGCCATCTGGACTTATTCTTTAAATCTCTAAAATAGCATATTTTTTTTTAATAATATTAAACGATATGAAAGTTTAGCATCAAGAGCGCAAACAATATCCCTGACCAATATATGACACACATTGTATGTTATAGATACACACGTACGAGCGAATATTAATATTTCAATAAGAAGAGAAAAAGCTGGCGATATTGGAATCATAAATTTTTAAAACCTCGTGAGTTGGAAGAACAGGGAGGGATGTTATGAAAGACGCAGGCTTCTGCAGTATTGCACTGCATGCAGCCCTTCAGGAAGATGCGGAAGTTTGCAGATTTGTGTGACGTCAGCTCGAGGTAGATGGTAATCTGTTATGGGCAAAAGGTTCCAGGGTGTTTAGGTTTTCCACTCGATTTCTGTCGGTTGTGCGGTGGCTATTTTCTGTACCTTTTGTCAAGAATGTTGACATTGATTTAATGTTGTTCTGTCATAAAAGATTCATTTTATATAGGCCTATGATTGGTGTTGAACTGTTTTTGTTTCTAATTTTTAAGGTAAATTTAGGTTACTAAGTTAATAGAAGCAGATCTGCGTGTTATTTTGTCTTATTTTATTTATTATTTATTTATTTAGTGTTCTGTCTGACGACAGGTCCATATGAACAGGATCCTTCCATCCTTTTCTCGGATTGGGACCTGTTCATATACGTTCTTGGCAGATGATCCAGAAGTGGTTTGCCATTGCCTTCTTCTGTGTGTGAATGGAGTAATTGTTGGGATGCCACGGAGAAACCGGGAAAGCCCCCGGAGGAAAACTCCGTGTTGCCTAGACCACGGCCTTGCCCAACACAAGTTATAAATTCGGGCACCGCCGGGAATCGAACCCGAGACCCCAGGAAAAATAATTCATTAGTAAGCTAAGAAGGCGCGTGTCGACAGCCCTGGAAATGAAATACAACGAAGAAGTGAACTGTCTTTACTTTTTTGCATGAAAGTCGTTGATTGAATAAAACGGGCAGCCATGAAAGTTTAAATGATTTGCCTCGTTGTCTGAGATATTTAAATCTGTATTCTCATGTTGCTTTTATTAAATTAAACAATGCGTTTGCACTGTAAAATTCGTTTTTATGTATATTGACTTGGTAGTTGGTAAACGTGAGAGTTTATTAAAATCTGATTGTTTCTGAGTTTAGTGAAGTTGCTCAAATATGGCGAAGCTTAGCAGCTTTCTGGAACAGAACAGCCAACAATCAGGTATTGTAATCAACGCCGGGATTTGCACCACAGTCCGTTGCGTTGGCCATTATCTGCAGAGAAGCTGCTTGTTATTTCAGAAAATTTAATCAGTTTGAGTGAGACTGGACCCAGTGTCATTATGAAGGCAGTGTTGTCCGTGAGGAGGCACACAGCTTCTCTTTGAGGTTGGGCTGCAAGGTTTCTGTCTGCGCAGGCACAGGGAGTCCATAGTTCACAGCACGACTCAGTGTAACATACAGTAACATCCTACTTCTCAGTCAAGGCTAAGATCTTTGATTGTTATGTGGATTTCACGTCGTAATGATGTTTGGTGGTTTGTTTGTTCTTTCGGCGCACAAAGATTTTCGTTCTTGAATACCGTCATGGTCAATGCATGTGAAGCTCCACGTTTGACGCCGTGGCGAGAATAAACAACACTTTTTCTCTAGCTTTTGTACCTCAACACGTACCTACAGTACGAAAAGGGACACTGTGTCAGTTACATATGACGTAAGACAAAGGAGAGAAATGAAAGAACGATAATTAGTTGTGTATTTGGGTAGTACTTAAGAGCTATCGAAAGTGGCCTACTTTAAAGTATCTAAAGAATTAGGAAAATAATTGAAATCGTCAGGATAACCGATCTCTTTCCGAGATTTCATTAGTATTTTAGTGCTCATCGTGTATTGTACGTCACCGTTAAGTTAGGTTAGGTTTTCTAGAGTTTTTGGTTCGTTTCTCGTTTCGGCAGGCTGCAATCCCGTGTATTTCCATGGCTTTCCTCAGTTCCTTTAGAAAAATGCTGGGGAATTACCTTAATGTAATAACCGATAGCTTCCTTCCACGTCCAAGTCCATCATTCCGTACACTGTGACTTCGCCAGAATTCCATAAAGTAAACAGACATGGGGTAAGAAACCGTTTCGTACATTTTCATTGCGTTGCTAATTCAAGTCGTCCACTGCATTTATTACAGATTACGGGTGTCGGATCGAAGTAAGACCTCCTAACGGCATTATGCTACGGTCCTCGAGTTTGCACCTGAACTTGGTTCTGTCAGCCACCGTTAATGGTCCCCTTAAGTAAAGAGTGAGGTGTAGAGCAGATGATCAAAGAGACTCAGCTTCCTGCTGCAACTATCTCCATCACAAACAAGCCACGATACATACACTTGGTGGTCTTCCGTCGTCTCCCATGTCTCATGGTAACGGAGGCGCCAGTCTGCTAACAAAGGCACTTGCTGTCTGTCGCTCGTTACCTAAAACTCGCTTCTCTTCCTCATCAGAAACTGGACTAACGTTTTAACTTGTGTTAATTTGAAGGATTTATATCATTCTTACACGCGATTATTGTTTCATGTCTGATCCAGTTATTTATATTTGAGAAGTTTGGAAATCTTATTTCCTTATAGAGCTCAGTAGTTGGTTTTGAGACTAAAAATTATTCCTCCTTCATTACATATACCAGTTCACTATGATGTCTGTATGGCGTCTAGTTTTTTCTAGAGTTTTATTCTGAAATATTTCTATATTGCACATATATTTTTTTTTTAAATTTCGCGGTGAATTATAGATGTTACGTCGACAGACGGTACTCAGATAAACAAATGCACAACATCTTTCATGAACGTTTACAGACTCTTGTTTGTTGTTTGTTGTTATATTTATATTTGTGTCTCAACTGTTAAACATGTAGCGTAAACAAACTGTATGTAGGGCTTCTTGTACTTTCGTTTATATTTTATAATCATGTAAGGAAGAAGTGTACTTTTCTTATTCAAATTAACGTGCTGCAGAACACTTCCAAACAAATCCAAATATAAATATATGGCGAAAAATTAATCGCATGGCCTAAATACTTACATCATTCTTCAGTATAAATGTCACCAATATTATATCCTAACTGCAGGTGTCTGTACACTGAATATGATCTAAGAGTATGTACACAATAAAGAACGTTGTTTATGGAAGAGTCTGATCTGTCATGCTGCATGCGTTTGAAAGTGACATGTTATTTCATACGTATTATCAAAGGAGAATACTATGACTATATGATATAAATAAAATAAGGTCAGTGCGAATGTTTAGGCAATAAAAACTGTATACAGAAAGGAAGCTAAGCTTTAAAGACACCCGTGGTAAGAGGATAGAAAAAACTGGAGATGAGTCTTGGACAGGTGTCGCAGATCCCAAGGGAAAGATTCCAAGCTGTTCGCAAAAGGATAGGACGAAAATCGTTCTGACCTGGACTGTGGAAGGTCGATCTCTTGATGTTTCAGAGACGTCAGCCATTTTCCAACAATTGACTGGAAGGAGAAAGTGGCTGGCTAGGTGTAAGCGTGTGACTGGACTAAGACAGTGCGGAACAGTGATACTTATTTTTATTGACAAGTTAACACGCATTCTGTCTGAAACAAACAGAAAAAAAATTACTATTTTCACAAACTGAGACAAAGAAGAAGTTTGACGTTTAGTACATCACGTGAGTCCGCTGGTTATCCTGATGATTTCGACTTTCAGTTCATCACACGTCAAATTCAGAACATTCGAAAAAGTGCAGGAAAGCCAAGATGCCCGGCCAAACATTTGTTGTAGTCGGTTCTACAAACACGACACCAATAAAATATGAACTGACTTTTATCTCAGTTTCTTTGTTGCTGATTTTGTTTCCAGGCGAAAGTAATTAATTACTATATGGCTAGTGCCTGAGTATGATTCAATTACTGAAAATTGCTGTCTTATAGAATGTTGTACCGTACAGTCTGGTAGATAATGATCGACGTTTCAGAGGAGCTTGCTGCCTCCATCATAAAGACCAGTAAGTGTCTACCAGACTATACGGTACAACATCCTATGAGACAGCAATCTTCATACTTGTCGCCTTCAGAACCCTAAGTCTTAATTCGAATACAAAGAGACGAAAGCTAATCCTCTCAGTCGACCCACATCCGAAACTTGTAGGATGGTACTCGTACACGGGTCTTTAAGATAAACGGTGTAGGCACAATATAATGTGCTTTTTGTAAAATCCGCTCTAATCCCACCTGATTTACGAACTCTAAGCCTAAGAATATTATGTATATAGAAATTATTCTGCGTGTTACTTTGTACTGTTTGATGATATCTAGCTTGAGCATTTAGAAAACACACAACTTGTGGAAACTTTCGTATCTAAAGATTAAGACAGTGTGAAAACAAACTGTTTACGTGCAATCACAGAAAGTCTCTGGGTCTCTTATAAAGGATTGGGAAGGCGAATTAATTTTTAGTTTGGCCAGTAACGCTTGGCATAATTCTTTCAATCCCCACTTGTATTTAGTCTGTGACAAGAAAGCACTCAACAGTGTTGCGGTACTTTGCTTATTCTGAACTGAACTTTCCACATCGTGTCAGGTACTGTCGAAGAAAAATGCGTGAAAATCCATAATGCATTGCAAGCAGCTATTGTGTTGATTCTACAGTCTTGCCACAATCCTACTGCATTCTGTGCTCAATTCACAGTCAAAATACATCTGAGTGAAGTTCCTTTTGATGTCTGCATATTGCTATTGAAATGGTGCATGTGGTTTGTGTTGAAGGGTGACTGAGCAATTTCCTCTAGTGGAAGCACAAATGACACATTTTGCTGAATACCAGGGAATTCGATACGCGGTTAGATTGATTTTGTTTTGTTCGTTTGTGTTTCAATCTTGTACTGTTTATTCTCTCAAAATCTGCCCTATTTCATTTGCCCAACCTATAGGCTCAGTGTTTGAACGTCGATTATTTAACGTCACTCAATTACTTTTTGAAGTTATTTGGCGGGGGTTTTAAAGGATGAACGAAGGAAATACAGAAAGATGGCTGTCTGCGGAAACTAGAGAACTCGGATGAAAATGCAGGATCACAATATTATCAACCGTAAGTATTACAACAAACAATCATTTTTCTTCGAATCATAATTAGCAAATGCAGTTCGCTCTTTAGTCACAGTAGTTTAGCTTCAAAGCCATTTTAATTCGGATACAATTTGTTAAAGTAGAATTTGCTTCTTTATTTCCTTATTATATTAGCTTCGGAACATAGCTAGCTGCTAGTTGGTTCCTGCGTTAACAACTGCGGTGATTACGTAGCACCAAATGAAATGAGAAGTTGATCAAATGACAGATTTTAGAACTTGTTGAGAAGGAGACGGTCTTGAAATACTTCAAGGCATTAACCCGAAAGGGCTGACAAAAATCCTATCAGGGTACCCTGTGTGCCCTGGTCGAGGCTCAAACCGAGTACGACCCGATTACAAGTTAGGTCTATGTCGATTTCCAGTCTTCTCTCTCTGTGTTGCCTGTAGTCCTCGACAATCAAGCTAGACGCAATTTGAAAGGTGGATTTCAGAATCAAGAATTCAGCTTTTTGGAATCTTCTTTTAAAGTACTGAATTTAAATTGGAAAAAAATCTACTTTCATCGAACCGGTAAATGTAAAACTTTATATGAAGCTTTTATACATTCTAACGACCTCCGGAAAATAATCAGTGCAGCCAGCTTCAGTTTGGTGAAGCTAAAACTAGCAAATTGCGACGATGAAATAAAAATATACAGAGACTGTGTCAGCATGTGGCTGGAAGCAATTAATAGACGATCAGTACTGGAGTCGACATAAAGTGTTGCCAAACGCTGACGAATTTCTGTAATGACAGGTGGAAGCTCTATCGTGTTACAGGATTTAAACCTGACTGCTGTCTGCCAGGCTATAGTAGATATCCAGATAATTGCAAACTTAAACAGATATACGTAAATGCATCTCGTCTACCATAATTTAGGCATTGAAGCAAGTAGATGAAACACATTTTATAATTGATATCAGTTAAATTGTGACCTTACCGTTACCTTCACAGATCTTCTGTTCAAAAATGACAGAGACCAGAAACAAAGGGGTTTCAAAAACAATCTGAGATACATACAAGTACACTAGATTCGTAATTAATCTTTTAATTGGAACATAATGTATTGTCTGTATCTAATTTTAGTATCAGGTTTTTTAGTGGTCGCTGGTTTAAAAGTATTGTCACGATGATGATGATGATGATGATGATGTTAATGACGATATTGATAATGTACGGTATGAAAGATAAGATTTCGTGAAGTGAAGCCCTGCAGGTAACGGTGTAACTTGAATTCGGTAAGAATTCAATTCGATGTTCATTCAAGACTCAACTTTATTCACTGGGGGTATCATGGCTTTCCTAAGTCTCTTCAATGTGATGTATTTAAAAGAGCTACTGGAATTTTCTTCAAAGTTCTTTCCACACATTACACATGTAATTTTACAAGTCCTATTACTAGGCTGTAAGTGATGTCTGTAGACCCTCGAAGTTGCTCACTCTGCAAAGATAAAAGTGGGAATGGCCCTGAATGCTTTCATTAAAGAGATTCCATTGGTTTTAGAAACACGTACCAAAAACGCTTCTGGATTACACCGTGTTTGAGGAAATATGCATTTGAAGACATAAGACTATTTATTTTTTTACTTTTGCTGGTATGCTTCACAGAGTTACGGAATTCTTGAAGTGAAATACACAAACAAGATCAAGATTCTTCCATTCCGTTGGTAACTGGATAGTCTACGTGAACAGAAATCTAAGTGTACTGCAATGTACAATTGAATGAAGCCACTGCGTTTGTTTGTTGAAGGTGGTCTGTGCTATTTACATGGAAACAACTCGTTAGACGCGTTACGCACTAGCATTTTATTCTTTGTTACGATATAATAATTCAATTAAATTCATTTATTTGAGCGCTTGGCAACAGCCAAAAAGGCCAATAACAGCCAAGCACTAACAACAATACAAAAAAATTAATAAAAAGTAAACATAACAATACAAAAACAAACAAATAATGAACTAAATGTATAAATGTACACTGTAATAATGATAATAAATCAATTCATTAATTTATTGCAAAATAATAATAATAATAATAATTAGGATCAATATTGGTATGTATACATATTTCGTGCATGTACGAAATGAAGGCAGCAATCTATGCTGCTCTGTTACTCAACATGGACGTGACAATTGCAGTTAAACTGCAGGATTTAACACAATGACTCATATTAAAAAAGAACTTGAAAGTTTGAACACAATTTCAAATATATAGATATAGAACAATGTTATTACTTTTATATTTTTACGATATTGTTTAAAATAATACTATTACGCATTAGCACAAGTAACATATTTATGTAAGATGGTTTAATAATTAGTAAATCAAGTACGACACCGCCACGGTGGTCTAGCGGTTAGAACGCTGGCCTTGTAATCCTGGGGTCTCGGGTTCGATTCCCGGCGGTGCCCGAATTTATAACTTGTGTTGGGCAAGGCCGTGGTCTAGGCAACACGGAGTTTTCCTCCGGGGGCTTCCCCGGTTTCTCCGTGGCATCCCAACAATTACTCCATTCACACACAGAAGAAGACAATGGCAAACCACTTCTGGATCATCCGCCAAGAACGTATATGAACAGTCCGAGAAAAGGATGGAAGGATCCTGTTCATCTGGACCTGTCGTCAGACATAACACTAAATAAATAAATAAATAAATCAAGCACAAATAAACTTCCCGTATTCTGTGTCACACGGCCGTCACATTGTTTGTTTGCTGTTAGGTAACAAAAAAATTGCATAATTTGCAACTTATTATTCTTTGTGTTGGGACGGCTGAATTAAAACGTTTCATTAAAAGGGGGGAGAGATGGTCCAAGATTTACGGTGACTGCATAACTGCATTTCCGATGGGGACGGAACGTGCCAGTAGGATCGTAATTTCAAGATGATTATGATGATAACGATAATGATGACGGATAACTGTAAAACTCATGAGTATTCCTGGCAGCTCCGACACATTGGGAATATAAATATTATAAAACAAAGAAAACCAGGCCTGATAAAATGCAGAGCAGGGCTTGGAAAAGGTCCTTAGAATGTATACACAGAAAA